TAGCTGCTGTTTAGCGCTGCTGCCGCCAGCACATCTACAGTCTCTGAACCACCAGATACAGCAGCAGCTGTGGTTGGTGGTGCAAGTTCTGCTGACGAGAAGAAAGATGAATTTGTTCCACGAGGTTACTGTCCGGTAATTTTCATGGTCTTATACGAATTTTGCTTGCTTTGAGAGCATTTTTTGATCTTTTAGGACCTAGTAGAAGCCATAGAGCAGACTATGACTCGAAATGGTACTGAAGTCACATGGGATGATATTGCTGGCCTTGAAGGTCCTAAAGAACTATTCAAACAAACTATCGTTCTTCCTGCACTTGTGCCAAACTTTTTCAAAGTATATCTCCGTCTTCAATTAGCCTAAGCTTTTCACTCGAAAAATTGTCTAAGGGTATTCGGCGTCCTTGGAGAGGAGTTTGTATGGTTGGTCCACCAGGCACGGGCAAAACTCTGCTTGCAAAAGCCGTAGCCACTGAATGTCAGACAACGTTTTTTGCCGTAAACTGTGGAGATCTCGCTAGCAAATGGCGTGGAGATTCAGAAAAGATGATCAAGCTATTATTTGAAATGGTTAGTTTTTTTACTGCAATGTCTCTTTTCGCCATTTATGCATTCTGAAAGTACCATACCGTAAGCACAAAAAGCAGTCACAGGCATCAAAGTCCAAATGTGCTCTGTCACTCGTAATGTGTTCTCTTGGAATTCCAAGCTTTGCAGTATTTCAATTACTTTTGAAGTTCCATCTTATGCCTATTTGGGAAACACTCACAATCATTTGTAGTTTTTTCCAAATACTTTTTTTTTCTGTTTTTTTTTTGGCGTCCAAATTACAACAATTCTAGGAAAAATATTTTATCTTTGATGCAGGTCACCTTTATATCCTTTCATAGTCTTCTCTCTTTAACTGTTTTTATCCCTCGACGAAGTTCTTCTGTGTTTAAGGCTCGTCATTTTGCACCATCAACAATATTCATCGATGAGATCGACACTATTGGTAGCCAAAGAGGGCAGGCCAATGAACACGAAGCCAGCAGACGGTGAACATCTTAAATTTTTGTTAAAGAGAACACTCAGAGAGAGCCTTTCCTTGATAGGAATTTCTTTTGGGAATCAAGCTTTTCAGATCATTCCTTACAATCTCTATTAAGGTTATTTTCTTAATGCATACGCGTTTAGTGTAAAATCACAGCTCCTTGTTGAAATGGATGGATTTGCGAAGGAGGAAGATGGCAAACGAGTACTTGTTTTAGCTGCGACCAACTTCCCTTGGATGCTAGGCAAGTCTTCATACTTTCAAGCTCATTGAATTTCTCTGACAGCTAGACCTCGTTTTTTTTTTT